TAATTTGGTTTATATTTGATAGTTTGTATTTTTATAATTATGTTTATTTTATTTGGTATGTTAATTTTAATGTATTTTATTTACATTAATTTACTGATGAATTTGTTTTTCTTTTTATTATTTATATAGTGGATGGTTGTCATTTAAGGTGTAGTGAGATAGTTGAAGCATCAGCTTAATAGACATCCATTTCAGTTCAATTCTCAATGTCTAATACAAGAGGATGCTACAGTTGTTACCATTCCTAATACTACAATTGATGTTGCCATTCAAAGTTCTAACAGTCCTAATGACACAGAGCTGGCACCCCATCAGAGAAAGGGATGAGGAAAGGCAAAACTAATGAAAATGCCAATAGATGGCAGTAAAATCCCATTGGTGCTTGATGATGGGGCAATATCCCGTAAAATATTGGGCAGGAAATTATAGTGCAATTAAGGAGAATCTTCCAAGTGCCCATACTTCATGGAGATTCATTCCACAAGAGCATCATAATTTATATTGTAATTAGTTTTGCGTATGGCCCATCCATTAAATGTTAAGTTTAATTTCCAAATAGGCCCAATAATTTTTGAAGTTGTACAAATCTGTCTTTCAACATACAAAACTATCGTAATTTGTCATTGATATAATTTTGGTAAGTTTTTTTATGTTTAGGGATGGATTTTGTACAAATGCAAAAGAAATAAGACCTAGTTTAATTCCATTTATAATAATAATATTATTTATTTATTTTTAAAATATTTTTGTAATTATTTTTAACAAGCATGCATTAAATGAGCTGAAAATAGAGTGCACAACAAACAATTTTGCAAGTTAAGCCAACAAACACAAATTCCAAGCTCTCTCAAAAGCTTGTTCATATAAAGATCGAGATAATAGAGTAAAGTATTGTGTTAAAATTTTTAAATATTACCAATAGTAATGCTTAACTATTGTTATATTATATGAAAATATTTTTATCAATTTTTCAAGATAAAGGCCATATTAGGTCGACAAATGCAACAAAGGCAAATCGGGCCAAAAGCCCAAAGGTCACACACACCAGTGGGTTTATGGATGTTACTACATATAGGAAGAAAATGGTATAGAAATTAATCGTGTTTTTGGAAGCTTATTAGCAATATTTTTATATCATTATATGTTTGTTTTAATATTTGTAAATTTTGCCATTACAACAAAATGTAGATCCATTGGGTTGTGCACCCTCATTCCTAGAACTGTACACAAGCAGAAGGCAACATCAACCTAATGGAAAAGATTAATTGCCCATGTATTGTAATGAAGAGGCCAAGAAAATTAGAGTAAATATTTTATTATATAAAATATAAAACTTGAAATTATTTATTGATGAATTGAATTTAGTTTTGAATAATGTTATTATACAAATTATGTTGAATGTGAGGGTGTGTATTTTGTAATTTATGTTTATTTATGACAAAGTAGAAATCTAATTTTAAGGGGTGATTGTCGAATTTTTAAAAATTTCAATATGAATTAATTAAAATTATTGATGGTTTAGTATCTATTATATTGTATTTTTTTTTATAATAAGATAAAAATCTAACTTTTAAAGGAGATTCCTAAATTAAATTAAATCTCTATTAAATACCCTAAACTCATAAATTTTAACTTTAAAATTTTTTTTTTTGGATATACGTTTCATTTATTAAAAGTTGTATGTGACATAATTATGTTTTTATATTAATTTCATGATTGTTATTGAGTTTGCCATATTGATATTAACATTTTTTTGTGTGTTTTATATGAGAATAGCTTTGGTTTATTATTATACAAATTGTATTGAATGTGGGCGTGTGTATTTTGTATTTTATGTTTATTTATGATAAGGTATAAGGTTAATTTTTTAGGATGATTTTGTTGAATTTTTGGGAAGTTTAGAATAAATTAATCAAAATTATTGATGTTTAAGTGTCTATCATATTGTATTTTTTGATAACATGATAAAAGTCTAACTTTTAAGGGAGATTGTCAAATCAAACTAAATTTGTATTAAATACCCTAAACTCATAAATTTTTAACTGTCACAAATTTTTGTTGGGATATACATCAATTCATTTATCGAAGTTTGTATATATGACATCATTATATATTTATATTATTATCATGACTATTATAGATTATTCCATATTGATATTAACATTTTTTTTTTTTTTGCTTTATATGATTTCAAGAAAAGTTAGTATTTAAATATGCAAATAGAGAAGAAGAGGAGGGATTTTTCCCTACACAAATATATGATGAGATGTAGGTGTCAAAACCTCCAAACAAGAACCTTCGAGGCCATCGATGAAGCAACACTCTCCTTAAGTTGAGGAGTTGCAACAAACTGTTCAAACACTAAGGGATGAGTTATAGGGGACTCAAGTTGAACTACAGGCATCCTAAGCTGAGTTTGCTACTCTACAAACATCAAATTTGTCTTTAACTAAAATTTATGATTCTTGTACCAATAGCTTGCATGACACCTCCTTTTACCAATGGCACTACTACCCCTCAAAAACCACATTTGTAGGCCTTATTTTACAATAAATAGGATGTTAGACTTATATAGTTATAAAATAATGACATTATTCCATGTATTTTGTATGACATATTTTATAAATATAACTTCTAATATATATAAATATGTAAATCAGTTAAAAGTTCATTTTTAATTAATAATGTTAAGATTATTTTGAAAACTCTATACATGATTATTATAAACATGTAAGTAGAATATATAAAATGTATTATTAATTAGCAAAATAAAAGACAATTTACTTGACGATGGTGGACAAACTTAGTGTTGCATGAAGCTTTATGCTTGAGATTTTGTTATAAATATATATTCAACACAGAGCATTTTTCAACAATTTTAAGATGTGACAATGTTATTGGGACCGCTACCAATCTAGAAAATTTATTCAAATTGGTGGTAGTTCGAATGATATGGCCAAAATCTACAAAACTCTCCTCTGAATCTTTTTATTCTTTTTGTTTAAGGACAACACCACCTTCTTATGCTAGGACACCACCTTCTTATGCTAGGACAACACCACCTTCTTGTGCCTCAATTTTGTTTCTACCCAAACCAACTTCGTGCACTTCACAACTTTAGTTGCCTCTAACCCCATCACTATCGGTTATGCGCTCGAAGTTGATTATCAGTGGCATAAGACCATATCATTGCAAAACCACAAACATGTAGGCTTAAAACTATTAGTTTTAAGGTTAGACTCATTGGTATTCAATTGTTTCAAGTCTTGTGATTCAACAAGAATAGAATGAATCGAGCACGGTTTGAGGTGTTGAACAAGGAAATAGATTTTGACCATGTTATTTGAACCACTACTGGTTCGGACAACTTATTTGGATTTGTAGTGGTCCGATAACATTGTCATAAGCCATTTCCTTCTTCTTTGATACTTTTTCTTCTTTTCATTAAGGACAACATCACCCTCTCGTGCTCCATTTTCGTTTCTACCAAACTTGGTTTCGTGCACTTCACTAGTTTAGTTGCCCTTGACCCTTACACCATCGGTTATGCACCTGAAGTTGGTTATTGATGGCATAAAACCATATCATTGCAAAACCATTAGCTTTAAGGTTGGACTCATTGGTATTCAAGCATTTCAAGTCCTGTGATTCAACAACATTAGAACAAATCGAGCACGAATTGAAGTGTTGTGAAAGGAAATGGATTTAGCCATTTTATTTGGACCATTGTCGGTCTGAACAACTTATTTGGACTTGTAGTGGTTCGAATAATGACTTTTTTTTTTTTAATTTTTAAATCTTTAATATTTATTCAATACCTATAATTTAGAGTTTTTTTATTATTATTAGATAGGTTTATGGACCACACTTGATCCATATATGTTTAATGCTTTTACACTTAACATTTTGAGTGGGGAGTTCAAAATTTTTTGTAATATTTAGACTAAAAATGGTCTAAAATATTGAACTATTAAAATTTTTGCTACATTTTAATCTCATTGTGGGCGAAAGAATTCAATTTTATATATTTCGAACTGATTTCGGTTTAAAATATGTTTGTTGATATATTTTCAAAGGCTTCTCCCTTTTCCTCAAATTTCTCTTTTCTGCCTTTTTTGTTCTTTCCTTTTGCTCCTCCCCATTTGCTTTGTTGTTCCCTTTCTTCTTTCTCTTATTTTCCTCGTTTCTCTTGATCCCCTTATCTTTGTGTTCCCCTTTTCTTCCTCTCCCTTTTTTCCCTTCTTCCTCTCATTTTTTTCTACTCCTCTTTCTTGTTGTCTTGTTCCCTTCTCTTCCCTCTTCTGTCTTCAACTTTTCTTTATTCTTCTTACCTACATTGTCTATATCCTCTTTTTTTTTTAATTTATCTTTTGTTTTTATTTTCTTTATTTATTATGATAGTTTGATTTAATTTTATTTTTTGTTTCTTGACTAATCTAATTTATTTTATTTATTTATTTTTTCTTGTTTTATTACTTTTTTTTTATTACTTGTTTTATTACTTGTTTTACTAACCTTGTTTTATCTTTTTCTGTTTTTTTTGGTAGGTTATTATGAAAAATTGGGTGAAGCCTAAACTTTTTTTTCACATGTATATATTTGTTTTGTTTTAATGCTTTTTTTATTTTTATTTTATCTTACTAATTTCATTTCTTTTATTTTCGTAGGAAATGATAAAATTTACAATGTACAATCGGTGTAAGTAATGTTTTTTTTTTTAATGTTATTTGCAGTATATATTATATATTTTTATTTATTTTTCATTGAAATTATATATAACCATTTATGTATTTTTCTATTTTTTATTTATAATTTCAATTATTATGTTAGAGTTTTATTTTCAAATTAGGAAAAATATAAAAATGCGAAATGACCTTGTACATGTTGCTCATTTCAATTTTAATTTAACAAATATTTTATATGTAAGTATTGTATAATTTGTATATGTTACTTTTATTGTTTATAATAAGTAGCTATTTGTAAGCACAAAATATATATTTTTGAATTTTTTAGACATATAATATAATATAACAAATAAATAAGATATTTTATTTTATTATTATTATTATTTTGTTTCAGAGTGTTATATTTTAGACCAAACTTGATTTGGATAACATTTTAAAGGAAACGCTAACCCAACTACAAAATATCTTTTTTTGCAAATGAGGCCAAACATTTTTAGACCAACAGCAGTTTGGAAATATTTTCAGCATAACACAACATAAAGACCAAACTTTTTATTGTCTAAATGAGGCCAACAATTTACAGACCAAAACCGGTTTGAAATTATTTCCAAAATAGCAATACAAGAACCATACTTTTTCAATTTTGTAGTTGAGGCCAATAAATTTCATACCATTACCGGTTTGAAAATTTTATGTGTGTTTTAATTTTTATTTTTATTTTATTCAGACTGTCCTTGGTTCGTAAAAGGTCATTGTCCTGTCTTGTTTTACTATTATACAGACCAATTTTGGTCTGAAAAATTAACTATTCAGACTAATTTCAATCTAGCTTAAACAATTTTTGGTTTGAATGTCGACCTTTCTTGAGTTTTATACAGACTGATTCTGATCTAAAAAATTAATGTTATTTAAACCAATTTCTTGTCAGCCTAAAATTTAAATTATTCAGACTAGGTTTTTTTGAACTAAATATCTATGTCAATATCGGTCCAAATAAATATATTTAGATTGATTCCTAATTTTTCCAAGCTAATTTATCAGTCTAGAATTTAACTGTTTTCAGTTGTGACCACACATCATATAAATCAACTAATCGCAGTGAAATTTTTATTAGACACCTATGGAGGATATAAATCCTTATTGAAAATCTAAAAAAATAATAAAAAAGCTACTCAGGTCTAAAACAACAAAGCATATTTAGAAAAATCTTAGGAAGCCTAAAAAAATATAGTAAAAGATAAGGTAAGGGTTTTTTTAATTATTAACTAATTTCTTGTGTTTAATTAAATGTACACTTTTTTTTGTTTATTTTTAATAGATTTAATTAAATTTTTTAATTTTAAAAACTAAATTTTAAAAAAATTAATAATTTATATGAACAATGATTAAAATTTTTTATTTTTATATATAATTTTTGTTAAATAATTTTATTTAATAAAAAAATTATAATTATTATTAATATAAATCATTAACTGTTTATTTAAAATTTATGCCTTAAAACTAAAAAAGGGAAAGTAAATCAGTGGGAGTAATAAAAATATGGTCTCCAGTCTTCAAATTGTTGTTTCGAAGAAAGAAAGTCTCCAAATCGTTGACTTGACTTGTACAAGTCAACTTCTCCCACTACATATACCATTTTGGGTTTCCAATCAAATTAGCACCTACATCTTCTTCCCAATCTTCTCTCTGTATTTTGTTTTCTTGATCTATACATAGCTTCACCTACACCTCAGACATGTCCTTCGCAAACCCAAGTGGCTACGATAAGTTCTCAACCACGCCGCCTCCACCTCCACCGCCGTCGTCAGTGGCGCCCCCCTACTTCAGTCAATCCACCACCACAGGCACCAGCACCACTGGTGTTCCTTTGAGCTCCACAAGCTCCTACAGCTATGCTGAGAGTCCTAAGAATAACCTTCGTTTAAGGCCAAAGACGAGAGTCCCGTGGTCGTCGGGGTTATTTGGCTGCTTCTCAGACTGGAAAAACTGTAAGCTGAATGAACAAATCTCTGCGGAGGCGCGTGAACTACACGCGCCTCATTGGAGATTTGGGTTTGGAAAGTTGAAACTCATTTCTTGTCTTTTTTTACCTTTGTACAGGCTGTATTACGTTTTGGTGTCCTTGCATCACTTTTGGTCGAATTGCTGAAATCGTTGATAAGGGATCATCATGTAAGTGTAAAAAAGCTTCAATTTATGTCCTTAGCTAGGCTTCTCCTCAAGTTATAACACCATTTTTTCCTATCCTCTTTTTTTTCTTTTTTTCTTTTTTTTTTTTTTTTTTTTTTTTGCGCATATAGGAATAGTCTTTTACTTTCAAATCCCTCGTCATCTATATTTAAATTCAAACTTAATATTTCTAGAATAGTCTTTTACTTTCAAATCCCTCGTCATCTATATTTAAATTCAAACTTAATATTTCTAACATAAAGATTAAAGTTATTAATCACTTTCACATCCTTTAAGGGACAAGTTATAACACAACTAGGTACTAATTTCAGAAAAAAAAAGGTGTTGTGCGATCTAACACAGATTTAATTTTATAATTTTAATTATTTATACAAGTTAGACTGTATAATCTTAACTATTAATTGGGCAGAGCCTCTAAATATGAGATACTCACCGAATTGCATAAAAGCAAACTCTTTGAAGAATTATATAAATTTTTTTGAAAAAATTTTGGATTGGAATAGAAGTGACTCAAATACAGAATTACATTTCAGTAAATTTTAAGGGAGGGATAGATGAAGATATTTAATTGCGGCGGTGCTAATTTTGCAGCTTGTGGTGTTAATGGAGCATTGTACACGCTAATTTGCTGCGTGACTTGTGGATCTTGCTGCTACTCTTGCTTCTACCGTGCCAAATTGAGGCAGCAGTTCTTGCTGGAGAAAACTCCCTGCGGAGATTGCCCGGTGCACTGCTTTTGCGAGTGCTGTGCCTTGTGCCAAGAGTACCGTGAGCTCAAAAGCCATGGCTATGACTTGAAAATAGGTAATGTATACTTAAAAAATTGTTTGCGTGTATGTCTAGCTAGGTTAGGCATTTTTTTCTATTAACCATTAATTTCACTAATCTAATAAGACTTCATTTAAAGTGATTGTGGTTTTTTATTTTAAATTTTGAATTTTATAATTTTTTGCAATTGCTAAAAATCAAAACTAAAAATTCAAAATTAAAAGTTTGTTTAAAATAAATTTTAATATTAGCAACTGAAAATATATACTTATTTAAAAGTATTATAATTAGTTTTGTTCTTTTTTTTAATAATCATTATAAGATAGTGTGAAAAAACATAAAAAAATAAAGTGTTTTTAATTTAAAATTACAAAATTTATAAAAATCAAAACAAAAAAAAATCAAAAAACACGGTCATACTCAATAGAATCTAAAATAATGCTTATATATATATGTGTGATAATTCAATGGTATATTTTTAAACAATATCACGAAATATATACTCCTCTCTTTTTTTTTTTCTTTTCTTTTTGAAGGATCCTTTGGTCTTTTCAGTTAGTTGTTCTAATTTGACTTGAAACTTTTATTTTTAAAATGAATAACAATTAAAAAAAATAATGAAGTGGAACTACTCAATAAGAGTTACCTATTAAAAGAAAAGAAACTAATTATTATTCATTTACCATATAAAAACTTAAAATTATTGTAATGTATGTACACTTAAAAATTTACATTTTAATTAATATTTTCAAAACTTAGTCATTGAATTAAATATTCTTTCATATAGATCATATATGTCAATTTTGAATTGGTCTAACATTTATAATTTTTTGATTGAAAAAAATTTATTTATTAACATATATTTAATAATGTTAAATTTTGTATAATAAATTAATTAATTAAGTATATTAAAGCAATCAAAAAATTGACATGCCTAATTTAACATAAATAGAATTTTAAATCTATTGTTTGATTTTTAAAAATATTAATTATATGATAATTTTAGAGATTTCCTCCATCACAAATTCCTGTATAGTACATTTCCCTAAAAACATTAGGTCAAAATAAATAAATGTAAAGACGCAAGGGGGTATGGTTTTGGTGGTTTTGGCTCACAATGTAGTTTTGGTGGTTGGATTTTGTGATTTGTTGTTATGACATCCCTTAAATCACTTTATTTACTTGTCATATGAGTCGAAATTTCTTATTTTACTGGAAAGAGAGACTACAACTAAGCTGGTTGCATTATTGGCGGATTTGTGAAATTAAGTGCTAATGTACAAGACTTTCAAATGACACACCAAGTGTAAATGGATTATATCGATCTCAAAAATAATTTATAGTAATGGTGAAATTAAGAGAAAAATGTGAAGAAAAGGATTTTAATTTTGTGAGTATTTGGTAAACTTGTGTAGGGTGGCATGGAAACATGGAAAGGCAGAACAGAGAAGTAGCAATGACTCCAGTTACATCAACTGCGCCTGTAGTGGAAGGAGGCATGTATAGATAGAGGAGGAAGGATAAATGGTGTCATTATCATTATAGTATTAATGATAATTGTGTTGCGATAGATTGTTGTTTTAGTAGCAATAATCCTAGACTGGTGTAAGTGAAGAAACTACTATAATTTTCAGTCATACATTTTAAACTTTAAAAGGTTGTTTTGAAAATTCAAATGGTGCTTTAACTACTAAAATTTTAAAATAAATGGCTGAAAATTAGTGTTCTACTTGTGTGAGTTTATCCTAGCTGTTGTTGTTTGCTTTAAGAAGTATTGCAAGAATTTTGTGAATATTGTATGGCTTTGAGTGAACTTATGTAGTTTGGAGGTTTTATAATAATATATGGTAATGTTTTTCAATTTTTTTTATGCATACAATAGAGATAGGCTTCACTTGTTAATATTTGGTATGGACTCCTTTTGCAAAGCATTTTATTTGAAAATAAAATTTATAACTATAAATTAATTTTAATTAATATTATATATATATTAATCTTAATTCATATTTTATATATTTTTAAAATAATAAAAGACAAAAAATGTATAACTACAGTACCGATGAAGCTTTAGGAGCGTCTCTAATTCTTATGGAAGTCTTGCTTTCCGCGTTTTCACCCAGGGGTAGACTCAAAGCAGCTGGTTGCTGTTCGAATTGGTTGTTAATTCCCAAATGGTAATTTTGGTCTAAGTTGGCCATGAATTCCGCAGCCATTTCCTTCCCTCAAAACATGAATGGAGCCATTCGTTCTAACCAAATAATGAATATCTTGCCGTCAATCTTGTTCCTAACGCATTTTTAGATGAATATGATGTCAAAAGAATTTTTCTGCGGTGTATTCTAAAAGCGCATTTATCAAATTTTTTTTGTATTAAATTAATATAATTAAATTTATTCAAGTGAAAATAATATTAAAATTAATATCACTTTTCAAAATATTTTATTTGAATTAATACAAAAAATGCAATACATGCACACTTAAAATTAGAAAAACCCAATGGAATAAAAGAGTTTTTATAAGGGCACAATTTATGTGTATAATAAATGTTTTTTTATTATAAATTTATACAAAAAATGATAAAAATCAATATTAATTTTAATACTAATGCTTAGTGTTTGAATTTTATTAAATGGTTGATAAATTAAAAATCAAATATTATTTTTTAACACAAATTTATAACAAATAATAGTAAATTTATTGAAAATCCATCGTAAAATAAAACTGAGGAAGTATTAGTCAACGAAAATTTTTTCTACAATCTACAACTTTACTGGGTATATAAAACTACACCCTCCCAAAAATAATTGATATATATTTTTTAAATGTCCTACAATAAGTCATTTTTTAATTTTTTTTTAAAATAAATATTTTAACTATATTATTATCTCTTAATTTTAATTATTTATCATATCATAAATATTTTTTTTATTTTTTAAACATAAAATAAGTAAAATAAAAATTATTAATCATAAGATGAAATTAAAAAACACGTCCACAATCTTGAAACAATGAGAGTAACTATTACCACTTCAGCGTTTAAAAATCAAAGTCTAAAAACTACTCCAGTCTAATCTGACCGGTTTTCAACTATTACAGTTTACAAATACAAAGAAAATAAGTGCGTTCGCGTAGAAAAGTGGAACTAAGGAGTACATGAGACAACAGATTATGTAACGAAGAATGCTAAGAGACAGTGTTGGCTGGTAGCACTTGTCTTTTCCCAACAATTCAACTGAAAAGCACTTAATTAAGGTCGGCAACTTCCCGCTAATCAAGGTATTCCAATTTCTAGCTTTGTCCCCTTTACGCCGAGCCCAACGAAAAAGAAACCCTAACCAGGGTCATGCCATTTAGCTATATTTAACAATTTCGAGACCTTTGTCTACTGTTTTCTTTTTCTCGCTTCTCCGAGACATTTCATCAAACAGATGGTACGCTAAAACAGTGCACATTGAGGAATAGATAAACTTTTTGCTCTTTTGCCCCTCTTATCTTTGGGTGCCTATTGGGTTTCTTTGAGTGATGAGAAACTGAAGGCGGAGAAGAGAAATGGAGGGAGCAGAGGAGGAGCTTGAGAGGAGGAGCAAGTTCTTGAGCAGTTTGATTCAGAAGAAGAAAGCTATAGAGCAGCAAGAGCAGATCGCCCATCTCAATGTTCGTGTCAGGGCCTCTGATATGCCCCTGCCTCTGCAGAATAAAGCATTCCGGTGCGCCCGAGACCAGCTCGACTCCATGCCTGGCAAGCTTGACAGTAAACGGCTAGCCCTTGCCCTTAAAAAGGTTCGAGTTCATTCTTTTCTCCGCTATTCTTCGTTTTGATGCTTGCTCTGGGCGTATGGCTTAATGGGTTTGTTTGTATTTCATTGAAATGCTCTAACTTATACCATAAGTTTCATCCACTACAATTCTGTTGAATTTGTGTCGTAACTCAGAGCTGAAACTTGTATTTTCTTCCTCTTTTACGCGATCTGTTCAAATTTCTTCATCTCTTAAGGAATCAGAATAAATTTCTGAAAATTGAGGAATAAAATTTTCTAATATTATAAGCTCATCACTGGCTAGAAAATTATCACAATTTGGCAGTGGGAATTCTGATAAAAAGAATATAATCCAGTTCGGACTGAATTTAGGAAGTATTATTGTTGGTGTATTTGTTTGATGATTATTCGTCCAGTATCTTTGAATATTATTGAGGATTACTAGGTAGTACATTTGTAAAGTAGCCTTAAATTGACATCATTATCATTTTAATGCTTTCTTTCTCTTGGTTGTTAAATTTATTATTGGCATTTCTAGCATAGGTTAAAAATTGTTGTTGGGCTGTTAACTTTGATTCTTTGCAACTTGCTTAACGACTACCAACCATTCTGGTCTGAGCACATGTCTGTTGAGAATTTGCTTAGAACTTATTTCTTTCCGTAATCTTTTATTGATGTGAGTGAATTCCTTCAGTTCTAAGCGGAGAATCAAGGCCTCTTGTAGTTAAACTCTTCTAGATATACCAATTCCTTGAGTTCTTCCCCGTAGTTTAGTAAAACTTTGATTTGTCCATAATGTTGCATTCAAAGCTAATTATTCCTTCTCTTGGGTCACCCATTTCATGGTAAAGTGACTAAATTACCTGTAAATTCAGTTAAAGACAAATTCAACCTTATTTATTGTTTGTTTCTGTGAGAGGAAGAAAGTTATGTTATGTGAAATTGCTTTCAACTGTATTAAAACTCTCCTGTTCAAAGGCTCTTGGCTACATTATCTGGAGAGGCACAGATTCTAATTAGTTTATTTTATAAAATCAACTTTCCTGCTAGTGGCTGCCAATATGAGGACATCTAAAATTGTAGACATTGAAACTGAAATACAGAGGAAAACCAGGCCAAAGATTTCAGGGCCTGGAGACCCTAATTACACTATTTAGGGTTGGTGTTTAACACTAGCAGGCAGCTCCTCATAGATGTAGAATCACAATTTCCTAGTTCAAAATGAACAAAATGGGGTGCCATTCAATCAGCAAAGAAAGTTGAGTTGAGTGTCCTGTATCTGCATCTTGATAAATTTCACTTAAGTATATCAAATTTTTTTAGGTTCAAATATATCTTGGCCTCAATTATGGTAAATGAAATAGGCAATTCACATCCCTAAACTCATGTAGGCTGAGTATACAAATTAGTTAACAATGACATGCTAACAAATCTTATCCAGTTCAAACAGTTTTGGCACCTACTAGGTGAAAATGGTTTTTTAAGTTCTGAGCAGTCCTTCCATTACAGGTAAGCTTTTCATGAATCTTATTACAGTATTCCTTTGTGCTTTACCATTGTGACAATAAATATACCAGCAAGATATACATTTTCTTATTCAGTATGATGCAAGCAACAAAGATTTGAGTGCTCGAGATATCATCTTGAAATTTTTTTATATTTAGCTACTTAATAACAATTTGTTAGCTCATATGAGCTCAAAGTTTGTTAACTTTTATGAAATACAGGATATATATTGTCTACTTGTTGCATTTGTTTGCATTCAACTCTTTAAGTTTTTTTTTTTTTTTTGTTTGCAACTCATTTGGTTTAATGATTGTAATTGGCTGGAATGTTGCTTCTAGATAAATTTTGCACTATTACGTAAGTTTCATTTTGGTGACTGTTCTTTTTAACTTGAACACATGGGCAGCCTATGATGAGATTCTATTGACTTTTTCAGGAATTTGATTCTTGCTATGGTCCGGCTTGGCACTGCATTGTAGGAACAAGCTTTGGCTCCTATGTCACACATTCACTGGGAGGATTCTTGTATTTTTCAATTGACAAGGTTTATGTCCTCCTCTTCAAGACTGCCGTTGAGCCATTAGGGCATTGATCCTTTCTGCTGATCTCTGATTCTATTCATATTTCTATGTTAATTGCAAAACTATAAATTTCCAGTTTCCAGTATGTATAGACTGCAAAAATGGATAAACATATGCAGTACTGGTTCTATGATTTGTGTCTATTGTATTCTAGATCATGTCAAAAGCATAAATGAGCTACAGGTCCTCTTTACAAGTTGTACTTTATGCTCTATGGATAAATGATGGCATGTTAATGCATTCTAAAAGCTAAGTGCCCTCGAAAGTAATTGTCGAAATTCCTAAATTACATGTGTTTATCAGTTGTTGACTTCACAACCACTAATATAATATTGTTTTGAATATAAGATCATCATATCATCTAAAACATGTAGATTATAAAATCAACAGTGATGATTTATGTAGAACTTATGCAAGTGTAAATACGTTCCAACAAGGAAAAGAATTAGAAGAATCAAGTTCTATCACCGAGCAAGGAGAGGAGAGGAGAGGAGAGGAGAGGGAAGAGAAAGTTGACTTCTGAGGCGTTTGATGATGGTAGGGCGCCGAAAGTGAGACATAAAGATTTAAGCAATACATATGCCGTAATGTTTTTCATTCGTTTGCATATTTGATGACCATTTGAACATGGACAAAGCATTGTAGTGCTAATAGACATGAAATCATTGAGTCTTCTTACCTTTCATGCTAGGATTAAATGGTAAAATAGATTTAAATTATCAACAATGACCATAAATTCAAGAATAATCTTTTTATATTACTATATAACTCTATTGATACTTCTATAATATATATATTAGTATTTAGAGATTTTCTATTTCTAATTGTCTTATTTTTAAAAAACACTTAACTCTATATATTAATGTGATAGATTCTTCTTAATTTATACATATTTTCTACAATTTATTTGGCGAGTAATAGTCTTTATTATAATTGTTTCAATCATTAATACAATTATATTTTCTAAAAAAAATATATCTATATATTCCAACAAATACTTCGACTTAAAGTAAAACAACTAAACTTAGTAATTAACAAAGCAAGGTATTAGTAACCAAATTGAATTAAATTCAAAATTTGATGGGAAAAACATTTTAAAAAAAATGTGAAGTTATTCCTCTACCAATTTGACGGCGTGCTTGACTTCCTTTCCATTCATAAAAGGCAAGCTTTGTGAGCAATTATTTATGACTAAGAGCAGTCTACGACAATTCATGCAGCTTTTGCCTTCTTACAGTAGTTCTCAAGCCATTCCATGGTAACACTCTTTGGCCTCTCAAGTGGCAAACCAAGAGCTCGATCCCATATCAGCTGAAAAACCAGAAGCAATTTTAGGGTAAAAATCAACAGCGTTACTGAAATGACACAAAAGGTCAGAAAAAGATACCTGGGAGCAAATCCCAATACTCCTTGACACACCAAAAAGAACTGTATAGCATCTGTCCATTACAATTTAAGAATATCATCATTTCCGCACAAGCAAAATTAACAAAGAACTATGATTTTCTACAGCAATCAAAGAGTATGATTCAATACCTTGCCTCAGTGAGACCAAAATGGTTCAGGAGCACCCCACTGTGAGCATCAACATTGGGCCATGGGTTTTTCACCTACAGCATGAGAAATTCCAATTTAAGCAAAGAGACCTCTCACATAACAACAAATGTTAGATTCACTGAGTTGATCTAATAATATGACGTCAAACTTAACATAAGTTGGATACGGTGACAATTATATAACTTTGTTGAATTCCCCCCAGATAACTGCATTATTTAACGTAGAAAACAATGGAAGAGATATGCTAGTAGTGATGATAAGAGCAGTGCTAGGGGCACTCGCCTCTTGCACTCTCCGGCCAACACTTTTACTCTTATTGGGCCACGTTATTGTCGTTGGTAAGAGGTTGCCGTTCAAAGCCTGAAACAAGCTTACATGGCCCAGTAAGAGGTTGCCGTTCAAAGCCTGAAACAAGCTTACATGGCCCAATGAAAGGGAAAGTGTTGGCCGGAGAGTGCAACAGGCAAGTGCCCCTAGCACTGCTCGTGATGATAATCCTCATCAAACTTTTTCATTACAAACAAACAATTACTCAGCAATCTATAAAGGATTTTATAGTTACATGCTATATAGGCACAACAATTTTTTTTTTTTATTATTACATTAGAGAACTCTGCAAAACAAAGTTGTCAATATCATACTGGCATGTGTACCGGTTTTGCTACCGGAATAGTATGTACTGGATATCAAAATTTTTTATGTACCATTTTGGATTTATCGTTAAAATATATATTTTTATAAATTAAATATTAAATTTTAAAATAAAATAAGATATATTAATGTTTAAAACTATCATATTCTTATAAATTGAAAACAAGTTTAAAATGATCATTTTTAGTCCTTCAACTTCTAATATATGCATATTTTTCGTCCATCCACTTTAAGCTAAGGGACTAAAAATGTTTATATTTAAACAAACTCAACGGAGTAATTAATAGATAGAAGGACTAAAAAAAATATATTTTTCATAGTTGATGGACTAAAAAAGTACATAAAAAAGTTAAAGGATAAAAATTATGTAAAATATTAAAGTTGAGGATCAAAAATGGCATTTACCCTTTTTAAATTTGAATTGAGTTCCACCGGCCAATTTTTGTGTACCAGCCGGTACATCAAAATTTGACCGAAATGGACAAAATTTGACCAAAACAAAATTTGACCATGTACAGTTTCAGTTTAATGTAAAAACCGGTACGTAACAGCTGTACTAGCCATTACAGTATGGTATCAATAACATTGCTGCAAAATCTTTTTAAGGATCTTTTCTTTTGGTCTAGCAAAATGGATAAGAACTGACAAGATTACCTTGCCTAACTCAGTAAGAATAGGAGGCACAACTTCATATAGCTTTGAAACCTGAAACATGATAAAAAGGTTAGGCATGGTAAGCTAGAAAGGTACACATGGGAATAACTAAGCACTCATAAATACTATTGTTGAGGCATAAGTTACAACCAGCTGGAACAGTGGATCATCAGGTAAGTGCTTCAATGCAAACTCCCTTTGGCATGTGTATCTTGGATCAGTTTTACGCAAAACTCCATGACCAAATCCAGGGACAACCTGCATAGAAAATAGATTTATTTATGTGAAAAAAAAGTTAGCATTTTGATCATGGTAGCCAAAACCAAGCTTCTAATGAACATCAAAATGATATTCTGGTAGCAATGGTCAAAGAAAGACGAAGCCCACTTTTGCTCAAGAATGATGATGGAAAACCGGATCCCAGAAACCCCCAAAATCATGTTTTACCCTTTTTCTCTTTCACAGTACAACAGCAGCAAAAACTAATCATTGAAAAAGAAGAGAACCAATGATGAGCCAAAAAAATAATAACAATAATAAGAAAATGAATGTTCATTTAAAAGTCTTTCCTCCCACTTCAAAAACAGTATCAATACAAATTACAAGAGAGTTACCAATACTAGAATATAGTCATCACAAAAACGACATGGGACTGAGGCACTTGCTTTAATACACAATTGAGGCACCTTAATGCAAATAAAATCATTTGACAATGTATATCTTAACTTCAAAGGAAACTTTAAACATTACCTTCCCACCACTTAATGTCTTCCAAACATAGTCTTTCAGCTGTTCTTTGGTTATGTTTTCTCCACACTCATCCACCACTGATTTAATCCAAAGCAAAACTTCCTGCAGTCACAATATTGACAAAAGGCATTATGGCAGCAATCAGCAGAATGCAGAAACTAGAAATCTACTTTTTATCGCATGTGACAGCTAACCAAGAACAGGATGCTAATGAACTAGCTCTTGATTTCTGTTACCATGGCACATCAGCTGATTTGAAGATGGTGACATAGGCTTTTGCAAATTTTTGCAAATTTAAGCTAGCAAACAAGCAAGTTTATTTCCATAATTTGATATATAAAAACACTTCTAACCAAACAGCTTCTGCTTCAAAATATTAGATAAGACTTACATAGGCAACATAATCATGAAAAATCTTGTACCTGATTAGCCAAACCATGAAGGGGTCCAGCCAAACCATTCAATGCAGCTGCAAATGAAAGGTAAGGATCTGAAAGAGCGCTACCCACCTGAATTCAACACAGCAAATAAATAAAACAGACAGTATATGTCATGCAGAGACAAGGATAATGATCATGAAAGCAAGTTTAAAAAACAACCAGAATGCTTTTCAACTCAAGAAAGTGACTTTGGCAACAGCAGAACGTAGAGATAAAAACCATGATAACTTACCAGGTGGCCAGTGTGGGCACTAACATTTCCACCTTCATGATCACTGCAGCCCAATATCAGAAACAACATTATTATAATTTGTAAGAGAAGTTGCATGTGAGTTCTTTTTCTCTAAAACACAACAGTGAAAAACAATATTATGCTGCCCAAGATTAGCATGCCATAACAACTCTCAAGTGTAGAATATCAAATACAAACCTATGGATGGTGACATAAAGCCTCATAAGCTCTTGCATCTGGGGACTGTCAAATCCCAACATGTGCGAAAAGTTTCCACCATAATCCAGAGAGTCATCCACGGGAATCATTTTCCCATCTTTGTATATTCTACAAAACAAAGTGAGAAGAAAAATGATCAAACACAGGCAGAGAACAATGGCTAAGCCAGGTAAAATTGAATAGAATCTTAAGAAGAAATCACTTTATACAGACAAATTTTTCCCAGCACTTTTGGAAGCTCTAACAAGAATTAAAAAACCCCAATTGAACATTATCTATGAACACTTGTCTCTGGAATAATAAACAAGGCATACACTTTCAATCACCTTCTGTAAACATATGAAGCCACTATTGGCACACGAGCAATCAGAGAAAGAGAGTCCTCATATGTTGGCTCCCAGTACCTGAAATTAATTTGAGACTGCAACGCTCATATGATTGAAATAAATAAGGTCTGAATTAAAACACTGTAACTGCTAAAAATACTACTTTGATTTTGGGATTCCCATCTCGTATGCTTTCTGAAATTCACTTTGAACCTGGAAGATAATACCAAGAAACCTGTAGTTAGTTAAATTCATATCTACTTACAGTGGCTGAACAAGGCAAACTAGATGGTACTTCCTTTATAATATCATCAATTAGCAGTTGAAGTTATAAAAAACAGATTTGAAAAGAGGAAGATTCCATGTATAATTACGTGGATCAAGACACATCAGGAAAACAGTGGTGTTAATTAAGTTGGACAGTGCAGCGGTGCTAACAAACTTGCTCCAACGTTAGGGCTGTAAATGAGTTAAGCTACTAGTGACTGCATTCCCCTACGTGGCCCGCGTGGCCACGCTGCTCAGCAGCAAAGTGGAATGCACCCTTTGGTCTTGAGGTCAAATCCTCCCAGTGTTGAACAGATGCTAACTTAACCATCCATATAATTTCCATTGTCAAAAAAAAAAAAAAAACAAAAAACAAAAAACAAAAAAGCTACTCGTGAGCCACTCAACTCTACTTCAAGTTGGGCTTGACTCAACTCCAGTTCAAGTAAGAATCAAGCCAACTTGAGTTCGAGTAAGAATTAAGCTCGAGTTTAAAAAAATAATTATATACTAAATATTTAAAATTTTAATTTTATTTTAATTTAAATCTTATATTAAATTTGAGTATTTGATTGAGCTTGCCAGTCGAGTTTGTCCTCAATATATTTAAACTCCATAAAAACTCAAACTTGACTCATCTCTGTAGCATCAAGCTCAAGTTCTAAGGAACTCAACTCAACTCAACTCAACTCATTTACAGCCTTAAGCATTGTTTACATTAGTTTTATTCTTTGATAAAACTCAAAGGAGTACCTTGGAGTTTTTATCACAAGCAGCTTGTGAGAGTATTTAAGCATTTGAAGGCAAAAACCAAAAAGTACGATTTATGAACATGAAATCCAACCAAATAAATCTTGACCATGCCTGCAAAAGCTTTAACTATAGAATACATTGACAGTGAAAGAACCATTACGCTTAGAACATATAGCAACCTGGAGGGCCATGACACCAGTAGCAAACTGAGTCATTGGATGAGCTGAGACAGGCAGAGCATCAATGGCCTTAAACACATGATCTGCAATGAAATATAAAAGAGAAAATGTTTAACAAAAATATATGAAATTGATTATAACACAGTAGATAGGATTAGGTGATTTCAGTTTTGACAGAGGCATTAGGAAATAGTCAGTTAACCAACATGATGTGGCATATTGTATCCACAGCTGCTAAAACAATATGATTCAGGTATGTAAATCTATGCTATCATCAAAATTGTGGACTCGCTAGATGAATGGAATCTTAAACAAAAACTTCTCTTGGTTCGAGAAATTAAATTACACACAGATTGAGAAAGTTACAAAAGGGCTAGGCTATTCAGGTCATGATAATTGAAAGATAGTATCAACTCTAAATCTCTATTTCTGAGGTAAACACAAAAAATATGATGATGTAATTAGTAACAACCTTGTTGCCAAACAAGTCAATAGCAACATCAACAAGAAAGATTAACTACAAACCTGGGACAGTTGCACGGTCACGTAATTCCTTTGATAAAGCATCAACCTGAGCTTTGCTTGGTGCCTGTAATATGTAAGAAAGGCAGGATATATGGTTTGTCAGTAGACTCATTACATCCTGAAGCTGTCTCAAAAACTATGATTCCCTGCCTTAGCCAGATGTGTCAAACACAAACCTTTCCAGTTAAGAGAAGCCACAAAAGACCCTCAGGCAAAGGTTCTCCATCAGGCTTTGCAGCTGGTAATACTTTCTGACACTCAGGAATTGACAATCCCCTAAAACGTATTCCCTGTGTTGACAAAAAAGAACTTATATTAGAAGCATGTTAGAAATACACATTGCCAAATGTTTCACTACCTGAGCATCAAGGACAAGCAAAAAATCTCAGTATGACATAGTAAGTCAACAAAACTCAAAGAGTAAGATACTGTAATGATATTCATACTTCATCTGGGTCTAGTAATGAGGTTTCCCACAGCAATCCTGTCATTCCTCTCATTCCACCAAGCACCTTGATAAAGGAAAGCAAAAAAGAAGTAAAACATAAGTAAAATTGTTATATGCGCATAGCAATGCTAAAATGAGAAAAATGAAAAATAAATATAAAAATGTACCATATCAACTGTAATATTTCCCAGTTGAACTTTCCCATGTTCTGACTTGAGTTTCTTTAGGCGCTCCTGGAAAAAAAAAAAAAGAAAAAGAAAAATGAGAGACCATTCAGTGATGGAAACTCTACAGTTAAACACTTGAGGGATTCCCATATATCACAATGGAAGAACAGCACAGGAGAAAACCTTGATGCAGTGTCTTCTTAAACAACTAATAAAAATGTGTCCTTTTGCAGTGGCAGTTGCAAGTTTAAAAGGAAAAAAATTGAACCCATTTAAACAAGGAAAACTCACCTGTTCCTCTGGAATCAATTCCTTCAGCTGAGCATGAAGATCCTGTATGGCAGCAAATAAAAGGATGGAGAAAATGCAAAAGTGAGGAAACAAGAGTACTAATAATATTTAAAACTCATTAATACATGTATATACCATTAAATTGGTAAGTTATATACAAAGAAGACGAATAAAAGCAGTACACATTCAAAGGCATGAAAATACCAAATGCATATCTAGGGATGTAAACTTAGGCAAATAAAAATACCAGTGCATACAGAATAATGCAACATTATGTTTTTATTTTAACAAAAAAATTCCATATGCTGCATAAAAAAATGGTGAGAAAAGAGGATAAACAAAAAATAGCTTACAAGATCAGAGGAACTCTGCATTTGAAGCCATCTAACAGTGTTGCTAAGACAAGACTGCTGACCCTGGAACATGAAATGTTATGATATACAAGAAGCACTGTGGCAGCTGCTAGCAAACAAGCAAACAAATGAGTAAATTTGAAAATTCTGACAGAAATAAGCAACTTACAGCCCGAGAACGCAGCCTTGATAGTGCATCTACACTCCTGAAGAATGCCATTGCTAAGAATCAATTCCACCTCCTGAAAAGAAATATTCTGTCTGACTGGTTGATTACATGATTAAAAGAAAAAAAAGAAGATATGAGACTAAAGTCTAAAATCACAACATTTTTTAGGTAAAAATAAGAATTGACATGTTGACAACACTTAAAATTGAAAAATAATAATAAGCACGAAAAAAAAAGGAGTCACCATCTACTTAAATAAGGGTTGGGCAGGGAAGGGCAGATCACCACTGGTCAGTGGGTAAGGAGATATGGTTGTGTTTGAGGAAGGACCTCACAACATCCATGTCAAATACAGTTGCATACTTTCAAATTAGGGAAATTATTCCAATTTTTTTTACTGGTCAAATTTCTTTAGTTTGTAACTTTTTATTGTTTTATTTTTGGTTTTGATTTCAGAACTCTAAATACCCTTAAGATGGTGAGAATCAGATTACCTAAAATGAACAAATCTATATTTAATTTGAACTTGCAAACTCCAAGAGACTGAAATGAATTAATGGTCAAAAAGGTGGTAAATGAAGAAGGGCATGGCCAAAACATATGCCATGCCAAGACCAAGTACCAAAATAAGACCAAGCACCACACGTTTTCATTGGAACTTAGATGATCAGTTAAATCAAGCAAATTGCTCATATTTTCTAACATGCAAAACTGAGAAACTCAACTTCGGTTTAGCTGGCCTATTAAAATCTTAAGCAAGTAATTATATTTTTTCTAGGAAGTATGGGCTTAAATCATACAGCAGAAACAACTAAGTACTTAGACCCATATGTGTAAGAAACTTAATATGGTCAAATGACGAAACTGAGATGAAAGAACATGTACAAGGAAGGCAATTAGATAAAGAGGAACCCAATATTGACCTATAGTCGTCCGGCATAGCATAAAACCGAATACAGATAGGAACATAATATAAATCTAACCAGCAACAAAGATATATGACTAGCCAATAAACATCCAAATTTGTTGAGAAAAGAGTCATTTACCAAAAAATTTAAGCTTTTGAACAAAGAATCCAACCAGAACACAAGTATGATTACAGAACATGTTAGAACTCACTGTAGAAAACAGAATACTAACCGAACATGTTAAAACTCACTGTAGAAAACATAATACTAACCTTAAGTGACAAATCAATTGAATAATTCCCACAAACTGAATAAGGTAAACGTCCTGATACTTACAGTTGGTGCTATTCCGTCGACTGATTTTTGCCTCGATTTCCCTCCAATTTCAGGGTTCGGGTTTTAGAAGGAAAGGAGCTGTCCACGGCGGCTGAAGAGAATGAGGAATTGGTCTCAGAGGTGGAGGAAATAAAGACTAGGTCTAAATCGGATTACGATACAATACCGTTGATCAACTGGAAGAATGAATAGAATCCGACGCTGGGATGAGAGGGAAAAAGTTGAAAGTTAAAACGCAAATGTTGAATATAATTCTCAATCATTTTGGGTAGTATTATACTATCAGGACTCAGGAGTCAGGAGTATCCTGTTCTGTTCCCACCTACATAATTAGCATGCGATGCTGGGGCCTTGTTTTTTGGGTCAACCACCTTCGCCAATCCAAATGGTCTTCTGTGACGCACCTGCCGGCATTTTTCCTTTGGGAAAAAGTGTTTCTTATAATTTATTAAAATATTATTAATGAAATTATTTTTATATTATTTCATTTAAAGGCATTTAACTGCGAATTGGTTTATATATAAATTTTAAATATTAAATTTATATAAAATTTTAATTATTTTTTTTATTTTTAATAGTTAAAATTTATTATATAAAAATAATTATTTTTAGATGTGTATAAGTGATCTTCTTACCTTTCATGCTA